GCCCGCCCCGCCTGAGCCCTCCCCGCCGCCCGCCCCGCACCCGGCCCGGCCCGGCCCCCGGCTCCCATCGGCAGTGAGCCGCGTCTGCACCCACCGACTGTGCGCATCTGGACCGTACCCACACCTGCACCCCCCTGCTGGGCATGTCTGGGTGCCCATCCGTGTTTGCACCCACCTACAGCCCATGTCTGGGTGCTCGCTCACATCCGCACCCACCTACCATGTACGTCCAGGCATGCACCCACAACAGTACCCACCTACCATACACATCTGGATGCCCACCTGTGTCTACACCCGTTTACCGTGCGTTGGATGCCCATCTGTATATGCACCCACCTAATGTACGCATCTGGGCATCCCTACACATCTGCACCCACCTACTGTGCGCATCTGGACGGCTACCCAGACCTGTACCTGACTCTCCATGCACACCCAGCCACAACTGCACTCATCACCAGCTATGGCCCAGCACCCACCTCCCCGAGCACATCATGACACCCTCCATACACCCCCGAGCCCACAGCACCCCAAACCGTCCTCATTAACCAGGGAGAGGACAGAGGCACGGAGCACCCTCGCCATCCCATCCCGCTCCCTTTCCAGACTCACATCCCAGCTGGGCTGAGTTGCAGTGACCACCAGGCACTCCACAGCACGGGCAGACTGATGACCCAGGCAAGTCACAGGGCAGAGCAGTGGCATGTTCGCTGCTATTTGTTGAAGTCTGTCCCTTAAGAAAGCCCCCCCAGATCTCCTCAGGGAGCCTGATGGGCATTAACGGGACTTTGGCTGGAAAACAGCAAGGCACGAACAGGGATTTTCTTTTAAAGACTTCCCTTCAAGCAAAACAAGCACCAGATCTTTTCACTTGCAGGATCTGGCCTGGCTCTTCCTGCATCTCTGGATCCCATGGATCCCACGGATCCCACGCCGTGGCCTCTGGGGAGGATACCAGGAGGTAAGGAATGTTGCTCCAGTGTGTTTGAGGGAGCTGAGCCATCTCAAACCTGGTGCTGAGAGCACAAGTGTTTTCCTCCAGCCAAGGCCGGCACAGGAACCACAGTCGCTGGGTTCTCATTAAGCAGTGGCTGGTTTTAGGCAAGTCCTGATTAGCCAAGTTTACCCTTCTCTTCCCTGTCACTGTTTTGCCTTAGAGTGATGGGCATGGAGATGTAGCCCAGGCCGAGGAATAACAAAAACACCAAAAATGGGATTTGCATCAAACCCAAACTGCTTAATGAGGAGGAAAACTTTCCAAAGTTTCAGCTTGGAAAAAACGAGCAAATAACAACCCCAGGGCAAACACTTCTATTTGCTGTCAGGTCCAAGGACTGCATTTCAGTACTTTTGGAAGTGAAAAGATGTTTTTCCTGGTAAGTCATCCCTGGGTTAGTTCAGAGGGGTTGCATCATTTTGGAGCTGAAGATAATGCCAGCAAAACAGACCCCAAAACCTGGCACCTGAGGGCTGCAGAGGGAGGCGGAAAATGGTGCTGCTGGAAGGCAAGATCCCATGAAAAGTGCCTTTCCAACCCACTTCATTTTATGTCATCTTGGAAGAGGGTCTAGAGTGACACATTAAACACAACAAGCATAAGGGGCAGTGCCAGTGGGCTGGACAGCCACATCCCCAAGCCCAGGTGCTGGCCTGGGTATTGTTTAAGAGGGACGTAGGCTCTGTTCCTGCCTGTTCGCTCCTGTTTGCGGATCACCAGTGAGCAGCACAGCCTGTTCTCCTCCGCAGCCCGTGGGTCACTCCCTGCATTGTCAGAATTCACCATTGATTCCTGCTCTCCGCTCCCTTGCTGCCCTTTCACAGCCCACGAGAGCTCCTCTCATCAGTGGCTCCTCTGGAGTGCTGGAGAGCGTTCCCTTGGGAAGCAAAGTGAACAGAAGAGGTTCATAGGAGGCAAATGAGCAGAAAGTTTCTATTCGGAGCAGGCAGGAGCACATCACAATCAGTGGGGTGGAGACTGCAGCCCAGAAGCCAACTGTGTCCTGGGCTGCATCACCAGCAGTGGGACCAGCAGGCCGAGGGAGGGGATTCTTTCCCTCTGCTCTGGTGAGGTCCCCCCCTACAGTCCTGCATCCAGCTCTGGGGCCCAAGCATGAGTAGGATGTGGAGCTGTTGGAGGGGGTTCAGAGGAGGTCACAAAGATGCTCAGAGGGCTGGAGCACCTCTGCTATGGAGACAGGCTGAGAGAGCTGGGCTTGGTCAGCCTGGAGAAGAGAAGGCTCCAGGAGACCTTAGAGCAGCTTCCAGTGCCTAAAGGGGCTAACAAGAAAGCTGGAGAGGGGCTTTTGACAAGGGCCTGTAGGGACAGGACAAGGGGGAATGGCTTTAACCTGACAGAGGGGAGATTGGGATGAGATCTAACCTGTGAGGCCCTGGCACAGGGTGCCCAGAGAAGCTGTGGCTGCCCCATCCCTGGCAGTGTTCAAGACCAGGTTGGATGGGGCTTGGAACAACCTGATCTAGTGGAAGGTGTCCCTGCCTGTGACAGGGCTTGGAAGCAGATGAGCTTTAAGGTCCCTTCCAACCCAAACCAGTTTGTGATATCCTCCCTTATGTGAATGGCTGAAACCCCAGTTACTGATGACCTGCATCCCCAAAGGCTATGCAGATATTAAGGTCTACCTCAGGATGACACACCTCATCCAAAGAGCTTCATGGGAAACGCTGCAGAAGGAGCAGAGGGACTGTCAGGGTCTGCTCAAGCATTTGGGACATCTGGAGGAACCAAATGCTTTTCTTGTGCAGCTTCACACCCTGGGTTCCGACTGAAACAGCCAGAGCCAGTCCTACCAAACCAGCGCATTCCCATGCTGCATCCAGTGCTAAGGGTTCCAAACTTTCCCCATAGCCTGGTGCTGCCTGGGGCAGTAGAAGGAAGCTTTCACAGCCATCATCACGTTCCTCGCAGTGCACCTCGGCCACCTCCAGCATCCCAGCCCTCCCCATTTCGCTCCCACCCCACAGCAGCATCAGTCCTGCACATCCCTCTCCTCCGAGCACTAGATGGGCATGCAGTTTCTGGGATCAAGGCGTCTGCTTTTGTGGGCTTGAGCAGCATCTCCCTCTGGTGGCTAAGGAACAAGGAGCCATAGGGAAAACGCCTTCCCATGTGGGAGATCCCAGGTCCCTTCTTCAGCCTCCTGCTGAAAATCCTGACAGACAACTTGGGATTGCAGGAGAAAAGCGTGGGGAAGGGAGAAAGGAAGGGATGTGAAGTGCCGTGCCCATGCCTGTCTGTGTTCTTTCTTTGCACGCTTTCAGCTGGAGAGAGGGAAAACCCTTGCTCAATTAAACAGCTTGTGGTGGGTAGAACCAGAACGGGCAGAAAACCTAAGAGAGCAGGAAAATTGAGTTGCAAAGGAAAGGGGATGTCACATCCAGCCAGGAAGCTGTGCAGCGGCTCGCGTGCAAAGCAGCAGGGCACCAAGGTTGAATGTCCCCTACAGCAAGGTCCAGAGGACCTCTCCATGCTTATGTGCACTGCCAACATGAGACACAGACACAGCAAAAACTGGTTTGTTTTTAAAGCATCATTATGCATTATCCAAAGTAAAAAAACAAACTAGATAAGAATCACCATAATGCCATGGCAGCTCTGCTGCCTTGTGTGTGATGTGCATAGTGAGGAGGAGGACTCTGGAACAGCAGAGCATAGCCACAGCATGGTGGTGCTAAGGTCCAGGTGGAGACATGGAGCTTTTGTCATGTTGGAAAGCAGCTTCACTCTGAAACTGGCACCAGCTGGGTTGCAAGTGCCCAGATGAGCTTGAAGACACATCTGGCTGGGTCAGTCCGGAGATGTGACTGCTACATGAAGCTCATTTCAATAATTCCTTGCATGCCTGTCCTTCCTGCTGCCTCCTCTGCCCTGGGGCATCACCAGTGTCCTGCCCACAGCAGGGCAACAGCTGGAAGATGCAGCCAGATGTGTACACATGGGCTTGGTGGTGAAGCAGCTGACCAGACCTATACAACACGTCAAGCCATGCCCTGGGCACAAACCCTTGTCCAGCCAGCCCAGCTGGAAGCATGAGCTATTTCTGAGACCCCAGTTGAGGTCTTTAGTTCCTGATATAAATAAGGAATATATCAGACTTTGGTTCCTGATATAAATAAACCCTGCCTGCAACAGGGATTTTACAGTAGCGGGAGCATGTAGATGTGTTTTGAGATTTGGCTTGAGGCTAATGTTAAGAGGGAGCATCCAAAGCTGGATTATCTGCAGCAAGGAAGGAGCTGCAGATAAAGGCCACTTGAGGAAGCAGGGTGGTGGTGGGCGAGCAAAGCAGGACATGGCTTTTGTCTATAGTTCAGGGTCCCAAGGTTGTGGTCTGTAGCATGAAGAGGGTCTGCCATCCTATTTGGCTCCAGCAAATGGAGTTGGTAAAGCTCACAAGGTAAACACGATGAGGGAAAATTAAATCAAGCACTGCTGAGCCTTACTTTAAGGCTTATTCTGCCCCTAAGGAATAGAATCTGAGAGTAAAAGTCATATTTTTTCTGCTTTAGACACTTATTTGGCCTGAGAAGACTCCTGTTTTGGCCAGCATTGAAGGCTCTGGAGGCAGCAACCAGATCTCCACACTGGGACAGGCCAGCAGCTTGTGTAGGCACTTGATACAGGACATGCTTCTAGGAACTGCTACAGATATATCAAAGTCAGCATGCTGCAGCTGCCTAGCATTGTACATGAGTAAGTTTAATAAATACCTGAACCTGGACTTTTAAGGACTTTCAAGGACTTTGAATCTCCAAAACTGCAAGTAGAAGATGCACCAGGAGGGAAGGTGATGTCCTAGCGATGGAGCACCCCATCTGCCCAGCAGCACCAGGGGCACCACGGGGACAGTCTTCATGGCCAGCATTAACATCCCACAGCCTCCTGCTCTATCCTATCACTGAGGCAGTCACCCCAGTGCTGACCCAAGGTGACAATGCATGGAGTTTACAAGGTCACACCAGCAACCCATACCGGTTCATCCCATCTCCCCCAGCCCTCACTGTGGGCATGCAGGGTCAGCCCTGGGGGTAGAGGTGAAGCACGGTGGCCTCAGCCTGCTCCTCACAACAGTCCCCAGTGTGCCACAGTGGGTGTCCCAAAGGCAGTGACGCTCCACAAGTGCTCCCCCAGCCCCACAGGCTCCAAGCCCTCTTTGGGGTGACCCACCACCCCACAGCCACCTGTGCTGCTGAGGGTTGAGCTGTGCTGCAGATGCTTGTGGGCACAAGTGCCCAGGATTGGGATGATGGTCATCATCTCAAGGGATAAATCCTCTCTATGTCCTCCTTCTCCCAGGCAGCCTGGAGGAGGCTGGGCTTTGCTGTCCCTTTGCACCAGGGCCGTGCTTGTAGCTGGGACTGTCCTCTCACTGGGTGAGGTGATGCCTCCTGCACTTGCACTGTAATACATGGAAGAGCCCTTGGCCAGATGCAGGGAGAAGCTGCTGGGAAAGGATATGGCTGAGGGAAAATCAGGCTCCTGCCCTGCTCCATCCTCCTGTGCTGTTCTCGCAGTGCTGGTGCTGGGCTTGCTGCCACCTCCATTCCCCATCGCCTGTGATTTTCCATCACTCAGATCACATTCAACACCTCCAAGACCGATTTCCCTTGTGGGGAGGGAAAGGTTTGCTTCAGGCTCAGCACTGGTGGGTTTCCCCATCATCCATGTGCCAGGATAAACCTCTCCCATGCCACCATCTCCAAAAGCTGTATTGATCGTGGACATATCTCCTGTCTTCAAGGCCAGCTTTACCAGCAGCCAGTGGTGATGGTTTGTCCAGCTGCCCTCCAAACACCCTCTGACTTGCAGGAGCGATGAGCTGTTCCCATTTTTGGGATCTGCCCTGGTCCGTGTCCCTCCCAAGGACTCTCCATCTCCAGAAATTCCCAAGCTCTGCCCATCCTGGGAGCTGTCTCCAGCAACCTCCTCATCACCGGCAGCTGCAGCGCTGCAGGTTGTCTCCAGGAAGCCCTGGCAGATCTCTGTGGACTTGGGATGGAGCAGGCTGTAACACAGCACCAGCGCTGCGGCACCTGAAAAGAGAAGAGGGGTGTCAAGGGAGGAGTTTCAGCAACATTTCATTCAGGTGCCACCTCCAGATCCCTTTCCAGAGACACTGCTGGGCATCAGATGTCCAAACACACATCTTTCATACTTTAACAGGGATGCAAGTGTCCCACGGGAGCAGCTCTCTGGAAAGGGAGCACCGAGCATGCTCTCAAGACTGAATTCATCTGGATTGATTTGCAGACCAATGGGTGCACAGTGAGGCAGCCACTGAGCACCAGTGGGCAGGACACAGGGCAAGGAGGAGATGTGGGATGTAGGAATCCTCCCGTCTCACAGCATCCCCATCCTCTAGCCATTAAATGAGACAACAGGAGGTTTTTAAGACACTTTCTTACTACTATGCTATTTCTATCCCAAAATCATTCAAGGCCAAAGGAACTGCTTTTTTTCCAGCCTGAAGTTGCCCCTTCTTGGACAGCATTGATATGCACATAGACAGTCTGGGGAGATGCTGGAGACATTCAAAACCCGCCTGGACACGTTCCTGTGTAACCTTATCTAGGTGTTCCTGCTCCGGCAGGGGGATTGGACTAGATGATCTTTTGAGGTCCCTTCCAATCTCTAACATACTGCGATGCTGTGATACTGTGATGCAAAAAGCCTGTCCTGTAGGTATTACAGCATCCCTCTTCCCTCATCCCACTGGAAAACATGACTGCTGATGGGTTGTTTGCACGCATCGTACAACCTCTCCCCTCCTTCAGCTGAGTTGTGCATTAAAGCTCTAGGGAATTAAATGTGCCAGCTAGCTGCAGCTGCTGCCTGCTTTATGGGCAGAGCATGGAGTAAGGGAGAGTATGAGCAGGGTATGGAGCACCTCCTCCATCGTACCAAAAAGTCCTACCCATGGGCACAAGAAACGTTTCCATTTACACAAGTGGCCCTGGTCTTTGAAAGGAAAGAGGGTGGGAGAAAGCTGCTGTCGTTCTGCATGGCCCTACAGCAGTGTGTTTCCAAAACATACCCAGTGATGGCTCATCAGTCACAAGCCACATTCATAAGTCATCAGGATATGCTCAAATGAGAACCTTTCCCTACAGCAATCCCGAGTGTTGTACCACTGCCTGCACTGATCCCAAGCACCAAGAACACAGAAAGCAGCGGTGTGCTTCAAGACTGCACATACTGGATTGGGAAGTGGTACCTGGGCCATTTGGTGACATTTCAATCCTTTCTGCAAGCTTCCCCTTTCTGGGATGGGCTTTTAAAACTAAACACAGGGTAGATTTATTATCACATGTGTTCAGACACTTAAGCTGGAAGAAATAGCTCTGATGCAGCTAAAATAACCGATGATGCTCATTTACTCAAGCTACTATTGAAACATGAGATCAGGCTCTAAACCCCACCAGATCTTACCTATTACAGACCCTGACATGACAGCTCCAGTGACGCACAGGCTGTTCCTCAGCTTTGCCTGCAGGAACCAAGTGGCCAGCAGCAGCAGGAGGGTGTTCTCGATCAGCATTACCTGCAGAGGGAAGAGAGCTGTCATTTTATTCCTTTTGACAGCTTTAGACATGCTTCCAACGACAGAAAACACCCAGCTTCTAGATTTTACTGATTTATTTTGCACCTAACTTCTCACTTTAAGCATAAGGGTTGCGGGACTGAACTTCCTGCGAGGTCTGGACCTTCTTTTTTACCATGAAAAGTAACTGGCAGGGCAGCACAGCCACCCAGGTGTTAGTAAGACACTGTGTGGCTGCTAAGAAAACAAAGCCAGAGCACAAGGTACATCCACCGTGCTCTGTGTGGTCATCAAGGTGGAAGTACCAGTAAATGCTGGGGTTTTATCAAGTCGTGATGTGGGAGATGAGAAAGGAGAGTCTGAAGCTGTTGCTTCTCCCCAGCAACTGTGTCCATGTGGAATACCAAATATCCCAGGTACTTACTGCATAAAACACATCCACTCTGTGCTTGGAGGGGCCGGGCCGGACACGAATGTAGCAGAATATGTACACAGCTCCCACCAGGCAACTGAACAACCTCCAGTGGCAGGGCTGGGCCACAATGTCTGTCTGCTGGGCCACCAGCCAGAGGGACATGAGCAACCAGTGGACACCTGCGAGGGGAAAGGATGGAAGGGGAAAAGCCATTCCTAGGGGATGCTGCAAAGTGCTCCGGGACCAGGAGCACCTCTGCGGCTGACAGCAGGATGGGACATGGGGAAGATGGTCACAGGTCTTGCTGCCAACATCAGAAACCCCAAAGGAATAGAGCCTGGCAAAGAGCACCAGGGCCAGGACCATGGTCCCCAGCATCCCCGTCCTCCAGAGCAGCAGGCAGAGGATGGCTGCGGCCGGTGGGCAGAGGTGACTGGGTTTGAGCAGGCAGGTGAAGTGGCTGTAGGAGACCAAAGCCCAGGTGAGAGACAGCAGGGACAGCCCCATGCTGACACCTGCATGGGGACAGGGGCAGTCAGGCGCCCTGAGGGATGTCCAGCTGTGTTGTAGGACTGTATCTCAATGTTATGGAGCTGCTGGTAGCACCCTGACACAAGCCAGACACCCATCTGTCCTGCCCATTGGGGGGTTTCAACCAGTTCCTGCTGAATCTGGTCTCCTTTGCATGCTTTGCATCTGCCTGCTTAAATCCTCTGACTGCTCTCTGCATGGGCAGAGCCCTGCAGCAGCACACCATGTCCATCTCCAGTCACTGCAATCGGACCAGAGACTGACACCATCTTTGTGAACACTGTGACTCTACTCCCCAAACTTTTTCCTTTGCACACCTGAAAGTTCACATTTTCTATAGAGCAGCCCCAAACCCCTACCTGCTCAGCACTGCACTGTGATTAGGGCTGAACCACCAATAGGGACATCTGTTGGGTTCAATCCCAGCCAATGCACTGTCATGCCACGGAGACCCCCTGTGCAGGGGACCGACTGTACTGGCCAGGTTCAGTTGCAGTAATCTTTAAGTCACATTTGTCCCTGCTGCTTTCCACTGGGGGTTCTCAGTCCCTTCACAGTGTTCCTCTGGATGGAGCCCTGCACTGTGCCAGGTGCACACACGCATCCCTTACCCAAACGCAATCCCCTCCGTAACTCACAGCATCCTTCTGGAATCTCCCCACTCACCAGGGATGAAGCCCACTCAGTTGACTGCCACAACAATGTATGCCTGCAGCAGGAGGTGAGGCAGGGTCTGCAGCAGGGCTTCCAGGAGCTGCAGCACACATGTGTCCCCGTGCTGCATCAGCACCTCCCCAGCACCAGCACTGCCGCCTGTCTTTGCCACCATGCACGGAACATCCCAGTACCTGCAAGAGTCCCCGTGATGAGATATCCACCCTGGTTTGGGCAGTTTGGAACTGCAGGAGGGTCAGGGGAGGCTTGATGGGGAGCATCACTCACCGCTTCCAGAGGCCCAGCTGCAGGAGGTGGAGCACCAGGAGGCAGCAGCCGGGTGGGCGGCCATCCACCCTGAATTAGAGGATGCTGAGGATCTCAGCTGCGTAGCCGGGCACCACACAGGCGACCGTCAGACCGAACCATCCCAGGTGCCTGTGGACAAGGTAGTGGATGATGGCACAGAGCCCTGGATAACATCCAACCGGCACCACTGAGGGATGCCACAGCCACGCATGCCCCACAACTGCACAGTGCTACCCATAACCCAACCCAAACTCATCTCCCAGCCGGCGAGGGGGTTCGCAGCCCTTGTCCTTGCTTATCTGGGGCGGCTGGCTCCGGGTGGCTTGTCATCTTCGGTACAGGCATACCGCCGAGGGGCCCGGCCTAAGGGAGGGCTCTAATAAAAAGCGCTCGGAGACGGGCTCATGAGACTAATTAATTAATTATTTAATTAAAATAATAATAAACCCACTAATTATTTCCAATTAAAAGCAGGCAATGCCTGGGGTCCGCACGGATGCCGACACCCTGCGCTCGGGGCGATGCCGCCCGAGAGTCCCCAGGGGAGAACCGCGCACCCCCCTCCGCGTGTGCGCAGCCTCGCGCAGCCCTTTGCCCCCCCCCCCCCCTTCCCGCGCATCCTGCGCGCTCACTCACGCGCTCCGCCGCCAGTAGCGCCAAGCAGAGCCCCGGGAAGGCCCCGCGCATCCTGCGCGCCCCTTCCGCGGCGGGAGGAGGAGGAGGAGCGGGAGGAGGAGGAAGGAGTCGCCGGGGCCGGTCCCTCCCCTCCCGCCCGCCCGCCCGCCCTGGCCCGGCCCCTCTGCACCTCCCGCCCTGCGATGAGTGGGGGCTTACGGCCGGCCCCCAGGGCTCCGCGGTGGTTGTGCCTTGCGGCGCGCTTGCACAAGCCCGCCCCGGTGCCTCCGTGCCCGGGTGATGGGCGCTTGCCGCCGGGCTGAGCACCAGGCGGCACGGACAGGATGCGCAGGGAGCCGTGAATTCATTCCGCAAGAGATGAAACCTTTGTGACATGAGATCCCGACCCTGAGCGGCTGCAGTTGCCCTTGCGTGTGCAGAGAGGGTCTCCTGTCTGCTTTTTTCCCCCATCGCTGGCACTGCAGAGTCCATGTCTTTTAGAAAGCAAACACACAGCAATTCGCTCCAGGAAAGGTCCTGAAGGGGTTCTGAATTAGAACCCTGGAATAGCAGAGGGGTTTGGGTTAGAAGGGACCTTAAAGCTCATCAAGTTCCAATCCCCTGCCATGGACGGGGACACCTTTCACTAGGCCAGGTTGCTCCAAGCCCCATCCAGCCTGGCCTTGAACATTGAATTAGGTCCCAATATCATGTGAGGTTTTGTCATTGCTTTTGCAAAATCGTGGAGGACTCTCGGAAAGCTTTGTCCATCAGCCGGGCTGTAGGGATGTACGTGTGCTTGGCGGCTTCCATGCGTTTGCTGTTGGTTTGTGGGAAGTTTATCAAGTTCTTTGGAAACCTTGGAGCAAAGCCTGGACTCCGCTGCTCGACAGAAGCAACATTTCTCACCCATTCAGCTGAGTCCTGGAGCAGAGATAGTCTGGAATATGAAAGCTCAGTTTCTCTATAGGTTCCCCGTACATTGCTGCAGATATTGTCCACCTGGACTTCTGTGAAGCCTTTGACTCTGTCCCTCACAACATCCTTCTCTCTCCTGCAGTCAGGGAGCTCAGATTTTTTCGGCCCAGGAAGATGGATTAAGAATCTCACCAGACTTTTGGTGTAGCAGCTTCCGCAGGCACAGCTAGTCCTGCAAATGCATTGCAGCTGACATTGCATGGCACATTGCCACTGCCAAAGAAATATATCATTAATAATCATCAAGCTCCCCAAGCCCAAAGGTGTATTTGAACCTTAATCACTCCTTCCAACTAGTGATTTGAAAGTCCTTTGTGCTCGTGAAGTGAGGCTTGCACCACCCTCCAAGGTAGCCAAGCAGACAGAAGGTACCTGCTGTTATAATTAAGCCACGTTCTTCCATCTAAGATTAATTTTAACACTTTTGGTTCAGGAATAAGGGATAATAACAGCAAAAAGCTGCTTGATGGTATGCCACGGAGTTGCAGTGACTCTGTCATGGGGCTGCCTTTCAGGATTAATAAGTCAGACTCCTTGGTGGTTGTATAATCATTGCAATTAGGAAATCACATTGCACCCCAGAAGAAACTGAGTTGCCAAATGGGGAAGTGTCAGCAAGATCATTGCTTCCTGGTTACCCACAGCCAGGAGAAAGAGAAAGGTCTTGGGGTTTGTGCTCTGACATCCTAACTTGTTTATTCCCTTTGATAATAAATGCGGGCATCATTAGCAAAATAGCATGCAAAATCATTCTTAATTGTGACCAGCAACTGGGGGACAGTTGATCCTTTGGTGTAGAGCATGACTGCTGACCACCGCATTCCAGAAATGTGAATAGCTATGTCATGGCTATCATGGGGCAGGCATTGAAAAACCTCTTCTTCACAGAACCCAGGAACATTCAGTCCATAGGAAAGATGGACATGTAAGAGTCAGGGATATACTGACAGTACATATACTTATGATATATATATATGTGTGTGTGTGTGTGTGCTGGAAATGCCTTCCTCATTTGATGGGGGTTCACAGTCTGAGGCTTAGTGATGGCCAGCAAGACTGGGGAGCTGGCTAACCCATGCTTCACTCATCCAGTGGATAGGAGCAATGAGGAGCCTCAAAACAACCTGCACAACAACACACCCTGATAAGCACTGCCCCTGTGGATAGGACAGGAGGCAGCAAAGGCGAAGTGAGTCTTGGCTTGCCTACAGATGATATCACACAGACCCTGCTGGCCCTCACGGGTTGACTTGTTTCAACCTGTGTGCACTTGTTTCAACCTGTGTTTTAATACACACCATAGCTGCAAATGCTTCACAACTTAGAGAATGATATAAACAGTAGTCCCACCCTGATGGACCCATATAGCAGATAGTGGGTCTCATCTTCTGCAGCTCTGCTCGAGGTTGTGTAGCAGAGCAGTGCTGAAGGGTGATTGTGGATGGCATTAAGAGATGGCAGAGATCAGATCTTTTGTTGCAGTAAAAGGGTGATTCGTAAAACTGCTACTCCTGGCACCCACAAGAACAGCTGCCTTCCTGGCTTTGGTCCTGGTGGTGCAAAGGACCTAATTCAGAAGTTGTCTGTGAGAGCTGCCCTGTGAAAGTGACCACCGTACTGTTAGGCTTAACCATGCTGTGGGACCAAATACATTCAACACGTGCACCAAAAAGCAGTAGCGCAGAGGAGCGAGCAGCCTGAGGCAGTCTGGGAGCTGTTAAAAAGGCTGCGCTGGAAATCCCAGTGAAATATTTGCTTTGACTGGAAAAGAAAACAAAGAGTCCTAAGAAAAATCCCTGCAAGGCACGGAGGGCAAGTCAAGGGAGGCTCTCGCAGGGAAGAGCTCAGTGATGAACAAGCAGCTGGAAGAGGAGAACGGCAACTCCCATAAAACCAACTCCCATAAAATGCGGCAGGTTGGATTCAAGTATGAAAGAGGGCTAAAAAGAGAAGATCCCTTTGCAACAGGCAGCTGAACCGATAGTAGGAATGTCTGTAAATGCATGGAAAGCAGGAAGCCATGGGAGGAATCCTTGGTAGGACACTTAGGTGTGGTACGCTGTACACTCTGCTGTCCATGGCAAAATAGTGAAGGCTACAATAAAAATACAGTTGCTGAGCATGGGCTCAGCATTTCTGGATGTTGCTGACACAGGAGGCTGTGGAGGTAGGCACCAGCAGGTCCAAAAAGGGTTAGACAAAGTCACCCACAGCAGGTTGTTATATGGGAATTGAAAGGACAGGCAAGGACCTCGCCTGCAACATCCCTGATTTTGCTATTAGGGATGCTGAGGCAAAATGGGACACCTGGCCCATAGATAGTACCCATGCTCACAAGCCCCCCCTGAACAGCAAGGAAATCATGTAAAGAGAAGGCAAAGAGAAGCAGGGGAAGGCATGGAAAGGGGTTGCAAAGAAGGAAAAACAGCATCCAGAGACAGGCAATGGAGGGTTCTCAGTGTCTGGAGCCAGGCCAGCAGCAACATGCTAATTCTGCTTTGCAGAATTATTACCCCAATAAGCCCCTGCTTTGCCAGCTGTGACACCTGAGTGTTGACAGGCTCACCACTCACAAATCCTTCATGCTCTTGGAGGTGTAGGAATTACAGCAGCACAGGGCAGACAGGGAAGAAAGCTTTAACCACGACTAGGTTAGAATCACAGCCTAGAGGTCTATAAAACCCCCTGCATTTGGAGAGAAATCATGACCAAATGTATTCAAGCTAAAATGGCAAATGTAACCAGGGCAATGTCTTCTGCAATTTATGACTCTGTTCTGCTCCTCACTGTGTGGAGAGGTGTAAATCAGAAGAAACTCTGCTGAAATCATTGCACCAGCTTCTGACATCGTGAAGATCAGAATCCATCCATGGCTGAGTGTGGAAAGACTCAGCAAGAGGAAACAGAGCTGATCTTCCAGCCTTCCTCTTCTTGATAGCCCATTTGCAAAAGGTCCCAGGGTCTAATCCTGCTGGACACCAGACATGTCAGGCAGAAGGAGGCTTTCTTCTCTTTTCTACCTGAGATGCACGCTAGAAAATATACCACAGATACGTTACAGCATAGACTGCTTTCTCCTTGATTATGGCAATATCACAGAGGTCCAGAAGGCTGTGCTGTAAGACAGCAGGGACAGATCTGTCATCTCCTCTAATGAAGGGTTGCACATCTGTATCTGCCTCTGAACTGGTGGTCAAGCTCTGCCTACGGGCATTGCAGCACATGGAAGAGGTGCATTTGCAGCACTGTGCCAGACACACATCGGGGTCCCATGAGGCACCTAAAACCTGCCTTTTCCCTCTTTTGTCCCTGTGTGCCTCAGCCTGGTGACACCAGTTTGCTCAAGCAGCCTTGTGTGACCCCTCAAACTAACTGAGGCAAACTGGCATAGCCTTGCAGTCCTTTCCAGGCATATGGAATTGGGAACATCCAAGCACAGGACACCCCTTATTGTCTAGTCCTTGAAATAGGGAAGATAGCACCTCTTGCTCCAGTGTCTCCTTCAGAACGTAGATGAACGGCAGCAGAAGCTACAGAAGAATAAATGCAAACTCCTGCCCACGTCCGAGACCTTGCCATACAAACCCAATCCAAAGATTTAAAACACCATATCATTGGGGTGGTTTGAGTAATCATTTTCATAAATAGATATTTCTTAAACTGTTTTATATGTGGCATAGGAAGTTAGTACTTAAAGTGTTGCAAAAGTTAAAAAGAAAAAAAACCAACAAACCAGAAACCAAAACCCAAAAAAACCCACCTTTTCCTTTTTTCCTTTTTAGAAAGGTTTTTAGTATAATGTTATAGAATCACAGAATGGTTTGGGTTAGAAAGGACCTTAAAGCTCATCCAGTTCCAACCCATACCATGGGCAGGGACACCTTCCACTAGAGCAGGTTGCTCCAAGCCCCATCCAACCTGGCCTTGAACACTGCCAGGGATGGGGCAGACACAGCTTCTCTGGGCACCCTGTGCTAGGGCCTCAGCACCCTCACAGGGAAGAACTTCTGCCTAAGAGCTCATCTCAATATGCTCTATATGGCACAGAAACCTTGAGGGAGCTGCCGTGGCCAAGCACATTGCACAAATGGAGG